TCCCCTACAGAAAGATAACCTTGCCTGAAACAATTCTTTCTTTTCTTTTGCTAATAACCTCTTTGCCCTGCCCCCATTTCTGACTATAAAATCCTTCCATTTTATACGGCTCCTCAGAGCTCCTTTTTATTTGCTAGATGGGATGCTGCCTGACTCAGGAATTGTTGAATAAAACCAATAAGATATTTAAATGTACTCAGTTGAAATTTTTTTTGTTTCACAGATTGTGCCAACAATGGGATCCAAAGCAAACTTCTGATGGTATTTGGAGACAATGAGAAACACAGGTGTGGCACCCTGTCAACCTTGTGAACTCACTGTCTTTCTCACTATTTATGAGGGTCATGGGTAAGTTTTCTTGGTTCTGAGCTCTGCTCTCTTTCCATCAAGCTCCTGATCTAATCGGCTTTCTGGTCAGTGTCCCATTTGATTGGAAACCCCAGACCTTAGTTATGTCCCCAGAATCCCAGATTTCATGTGGCAGCCATAGTTTCCCACTTGTTTGGAATTGGTTCACAGTCCCATTTGTTGTAGTCTGCTGATTCAATCCTTTTTCTCGGTCCAAAGTTCTACAGGACTTGTTGGTGGTTATGTTGCATCCACACGACTCCTGAAACAGAATGCTACAGGCACCAGTGACAGTCACAACAAAATTTATTGCAATGAGAGGCAAGGCCAACCGATCGGGACTGACACTCTTGATCAGAGTGCGGTCTCGAGAGCCAGGGTACAGAGTTTTTATAGCCAACCACATCGTCTGATCATCACCTGGGGACAGAACAAAGGAATAGTTCCCAGGTTGGGGTGGAAACAGTTCAGACACGTCCTTGCCCCAATCCAATCAAACACTAAACCAGTTGATTTCCCTTAAACTTTTGTTCCCTTGATTGATAGGACAAGGCTGTTATCTCTTAATCTACAGTGTTAAAACAAAGCTATTATTTCTTAAGGCTACAGGTTAGCCCTATACTACAATTTAACCCTTACATTTCCCTTTTCTTGTCCGTGAATCAATCCCTTGATTCATCATTAGGAACTAAGGGGACATAGTTGGACCTAATCATCATAATTTTTATTTCACCAACTCACCTCTTGACATACTGTACTAACCAATTGATAACGCATGGGCCCATAGTTAACCTAAGAAGTAACAATAGCAGTGGCCCAGCTATGGTGGTGAGCAGAGATGTGAGCCAGGGGGACCAAGAGTGATACCAATTATTGCTGGCCTCCCTGGCATGTTCCCTGGCTCTAAGATTGTTCCTTACTAAGCTGAGAGTGTCTCGAATTGCTCTGGAATTGTTGGCATGGGACACTATGCACCAACCCTGCCCTTGGAGGTCCCCTAGGGTTAAAATTGGTTGCGAACCCCAAGGGCACAATGACATCATACATTCGGAGGCCCCAAGTGTGCCCGGTATCCCAGAATGAGGAGAAAGTAGATGAGCTGGTGTTGGGTTACATTTTCCTTGGGCCTCACATTGGGGGTTCGGGGTTCTAAGGAGAGTAATTAGGGGGTCAAGGTCCCGTCCTGTTAACCAGGGGGCTAGTGTCTCACAACCCCATTTGGCATAGTGGTATTGACCCTCTCCTTCACATTCATTTTTTTTCCTATCTGCATCTTAGCCAAATTTCGCTCTAGTGCCCTATTTCCACATCTGTAATTGTTCTCCCCAGTGTTCCTGAGAGCTCTTGCCCAGGTTTGCAACCCCCATCCTTCTCCTACCAGGTCACACAGGTCGAACAAGAAACAAGGCATAGTACGAGAGGCATTAGACGTTATCACCTTCCGTGTGACAATGTCTGAGTTCCCATTGGTATGGCCAAAAAGGCAAGGGCTGCAGTTCTGCACCGTCTCCCAAGCTTATTATACAAACCCAGACAATTTTTCCAGCATCAGTCTTATCTTTAAAGGATCCTCTGAGTGCCTTTTGACCTTCCATCGCTGTTCGTTCTCTGGCCCCATATCAGTCCTAGGTGTTTCCGCCTCCACGCAGTTTTTCTTAACCTGAGAGTGATGAATCCAGGTTCGGATGCCGTCTATGTTCACGGCCGTTGATGTAGTCAGGATCACAGTGTGCGGTCCTTTCCAGTGCGGCTCCAGGGTTAGCTCGTGCCTCTTGACTCAGACTAAGTATCCTTTACCATGTCAGTTTAAGATGAATCATAAGTTCAAGGTTCAAAATCTCTACATTTCAATTCTCTTAAAACTATGGTAGAGATTACTAAATGAACGGCCAGCACAAATATAAATTAAATATCATTACTGACGCAGCGATATTTCATTCTCTTAAAAATGAAACCCATAAAGGAAAATGATCCCATTCTGCACAGCGTTCTTTCCCCAGAAAGAACCGTGACTCAACAAAACCACATTTTAACAACATGAAGATCTTGTTATTATAAATTTCAAAGCAAAATGGAGGAATCTCCACATAATATTTATAACCTTCAAAGTACAATATTAATACGTGTCTGTCAGTTAGAAATAACAGCAGTTTGTTAGGCTACAGGGTTTAACATAAAA